CGCGCCACCGAACCCGCTTCACGTTTGCATTTGCCAAGCACGCGAGATGGAAATATTCAAAGATTTTCATTACTAGTTCGGAGGGATGCTGGACCGACGAGATGGATAAATGGATAGGGTGGCGATCGGGAATGAATAGGGATGAGAGCTATAGGAGTCAGTTGATGATGGATGAGCGTGAGGAAAACGGGTTTTCTAAGATGCAGCATCCGCGATCCCACGCTCTGGACCAGCGACTGAAGGAGAAGAACCAAATAGATAACACTGCGATGATGAAAAATGTATCTCTTGGATGAAGATGCATTAAAATAATTATTAAATTAAATTTAATCAAGTGGATTTCATGAAAAATTTAAACCAAGCAAAACTCGTTGCAAAGGGAAAATGAAAAATAAAGGACAACTGCGGTCAATTGTCCTTTAATTTTTCAATTCTTTTCTTTGCAACGAGGGTCTCGCGGTTTCAAATTTTTATTAAATAATTAATTAGAAATAAACTCAAATTGTTTTCTTTTTAAAGCAAAGAGTAAGCTTAATTTGATAATAATCTTTTCAATCAATGTAATTTTAATAAATTATTTCATTGCGCTCATTTGAAAATACACAGTGCCTTTTTAAGTTGAACATATTTATAATGATAAGGAATGATTAAAATTGACAATTTTTCGTTGCCACCAGTTTGAAAACAATCTATAATGGCTATTAATGGATATCCGTGATTTATTTAGAATTATTTATTTAGAGCTCAGGAAAAAAACATGTGTCGGTTTTTGTTAGCGTCTGTTTTGGTATGGGCCGCGCTGTCATTTGCACCAGTCTGTGGCGCCGCTACATGTGAATCGCTCAAAATAATCCGCGAGGCCATAGATCGAGTTTGGCCAGAGGAGAAGACGTACGCGAGCTGCGAGCGTGATTTTGAAATTTGCATTTTGCCGCTTTAATTAAGTGCGCGACCATCGGTTATCGATGGGCCACGCGACGCGACCTGTCCCTCTTGATTAAAAATAATTTGCGGCGAATCGCGCGCGCGTGACAGAAAAATTGCGTGCTGGGGTAGGCCTTACCATATGACTGGGGAAAAAACGCAACCTGCCCTGCCACACACGTCTATCACGCTGCTGGTCAGACACTTAAAATATAAATGTACAAAGGTCAAAAATGTAAATAAAAATATTAGAAATGAATATTATTACTTAATTGTTTGATCACCGAAGTATAAATGAATTTGTCTAGAAACAATGGATAATTTTCTAATACTTTACTTTTATAAAAAAATGTACTTTTATCAGGGAGCAGATTAAATTTATCAAAAATATATAATTAAGACAAGGTTAATTTTATTATGCATCTAATTCTAAGTATTCTTAATTCAAAATCAAAGAAAAGTTTCGATTGATTATAAAATGTATTTTATATTCCATCACTTATAATTTAATTATTTTTTTTCCATCAAACATCAAATTTACTAAAGAAGGAAATTCTTTTTTTTTTTAATTATTTGTAATATTTATATTTTCTGTCTTTTATTTTATTACGGAAACATACAACGAGGAAGTTATTATGGTTTTGCAATGCATTGACAGAATTTTTTCAAGGTAAAACGCCTTATCGCATCGGCGTTAGGCAACCGGTGGGACAAACGCGTTGCCCTTGTTGCCTACGCACCCGAGGGGCCTCTCTGGAGTTGTTTTCCGTCGAGTGGAGTCGCGGCTGCTTTTTGCTCGCGATTTGCATAATGTGCAGTTGCTTTTCACCTTTTTAACGTTGGCGAAATCGCTCTCGAAGCGGCGGCTGACGTTGCTCGTCTCCTTTGTCCGTTCCAGCGCTGGACCGGTCTTTCGGGTTTGCATGTGTCCGAACCATCGCAGCCTCTCCCTCCAGCGCATCCTCAGACTCGGCCGGCTCTTCGTCTTATTCTTATTTCCAATCTGGACTCCGAATCGATCTCGTCGATCCCAACACTGAGCAAAAAAAGAAAAATAAAGGAGCAAACGGTTTTCTTTATTGATTCACGTGAGTACTTTTTTTACTTTTTTTCTGATGTAAAGTTTAGTATTTGTTTGGTCTGGAGGCTGCATTGCGACAAAATCTCAATTTTCCTTGTTCTTTAATTAAAAAGGGTTGGATGGAGGGTTCGGACTCGGGGTAGCAGGTGATATTAAATTTAAATTGCTGCTCCTTTTTTCATTATAATCTTGAGCGGCGACTCGCTCTAGCTCTTTCTCATTTTTCAAAGCGCCCTCCCTCTGCCCGGCTCCCCCTTAACCAGCAGCAGTAGCCACACTATTTTTTATTTCTTTTCCCTTTGATATTCCTCCAAAGTAAAACCGCAAAAGGAGCGCGTGCTGCGCTGGGCATGCGTAAGTAGCGAATAAAATTCCCTGCGTCCGAGCCTCTAAAATGTAAATTTCCCTGCGCGCTCTGCTTTTATCCGACCGACCGTTCCGAGCGGCGAAAGGAAACGAGAAAAAATATCTTCTCTGCATGACTGCTGCTGCCAAGGGGGTGCGCACCCCCCGCACACACAGGGTCGAGCGAAAAGGAGCGGGGGTGGGTGGCAGCGGGGGCGAACGAATGGCGTCCCCCAGTGCAAATGGAGATCAAATCCGTCCTCGCACAAAACCTTCCCGCTGCTTTCCGAGAAGCTGTGATAAAAAAATACACACATTTGAATCGCCTTGATGAAAATTATACATACTATAAATGCTAATTTTCTATAATATCCTCTGTAATTTTGAAATATAATTATTTTTCCGAGTATATAAAATGAAGGTCTGGTAAAATCTCTCCTCTGAATTAGATATTCCATCAACACACAAGCGCCGTCGCTCCCACGGTACGCCGAGAATGAAAAATTCACGCACGCCAGCAGCGAAAGTGCATTAAGTGCTTTTTCATATAAGAACAAGATTAATATTCAAATTTCGATTAATAATAAAGGGCTGCCGAGAGAGAGGAGAAAGCTGCCGACGAGAACAGCAGCAGCTTTTCTCTCTGCGGCAACGTGGCTCAGCAGCGGCTCAGCCCTCCATTGGCTCTGTGGTTGCGGTTTTCATTATTCTGTCAATCCGGCAGCGAGCGAGGGCGAGCGAGTGCGGTGGATCGCATCTTGAGCTCTGCCAAGATGATAAATAGACCCAGGCAAGCGCGTTAATTAATAAACAGCCCCGCTTGGATCAATGCTGATGGAATGGGCTTTGGCTTAAATCAACATCATGAACCAAAGATTTTCAATTTTAAAAAGCAAACATATTTGGATAAATTTTATTGAAGTAATCAATATTTATCTTATTTCCAGAATTAATTTCTTAAATAAAACAATTTGTTAATTAAAAACGTGCAGGAAATAATTATCATTGCCTTAGAGTCAGTGAAACAGAAATATTTGATTTCCCAATATAAGTGCACAAGTGATTTCGCTTGAAATCTTGAATCTTGATAACCTTGAAACTTGCTCAATAATTATTTTATAATTGAGTATGATTTTAAATTATTTTATACAATATCACCACCGAAGGCCTGAGAAGTCTACATAATAAATTTTAACTTTATATCTATCATTCCGTCTCAGTTAATGTAACGATTCTTATTTATTATAATACCCTCTAAATTTTTTCAGTAAAAGTAAATCTCTTTAAATGGGAAAATATTGTTATTAAACTTTTATTATTATAATTTATTTTTCTAAAAAATACAAAATTGTTTAAAAGTAAAAAAAAAATTAAGAGCGTTTTTATTAAACTATCAAATAAATAAAATAATATATGATTTGCATAAAACATTAATATTTTGCATTTATTGCATTATTTTACATATAGAACATCATTAAGGAAATTTTTTCATCAAAAATGAAATTCAGTGTGGGTGCTTTGAGACAATTCACCCCTCTAACAACAATTCTTCTCATATACTGTTTTTGTTTTTAAATTTGATGTATATGATTCGATTTATAAGGTTGTGCATATCAATGCATTAAAATCAAGAATATCAGATAAATAAATAAAGACACATTTTAATTCGGCCCAAATTAGAATTTTGTTGAACTCCGGACGATATTCTGACAATGAGATAGAATTTTCCTTCAGAGGGCGGATGTGTAAAATTCCCACTAAAATAAATAGCATTTTGGACAGACACGTGAGGGTCGAGTCTGTTTGAAAAATTGCAGCGAGCTCGAAAAGACGGCGGTTGGACAAAGAGCTCGGAGGCGCCTTTTTGCACCATTTTTCACGCGGCGTGACACTTGGTGTGTTGCTCTCGACGTTTTTCGCAAATATCAGAGATAATCTTCAAAGGCCGGCCTGCAAATTTCCTCTCGCGCAAAAAGAGCTGCACAGCGGCAGATAAAGAGGCCTCGGGGCGGTAAAAAGATCGCGAGAGCCGTATAATTTATGTGACACGGCGGCGGCGGGGCATTAAAAATATTTTTTACACGCGCACCAGTATTATTTGTTTTAATCTAGAAAAATATGAACAAAAGTGACGTCTCGTAATAAAAGGAAAGTAACGAGCCGCAGCTGCAGGAAAAAATGAAACAACAAAAATTACGCGCGCTTTTGCATTTGAATGCAAAAAGCGCCTTTTCACGTCTTGTCGTGATTAATGAGCGGCGGGCGGGCGCGCGGAAAAGTTTCCTGAAAAAAAGCCACAGCTGAAAAATGCTCCAGACCAGCTGAGCTCCACAATGAAAATTTTGTCCGAATATAAAATTCGGAGCTTCTTCTCCGGCTCTTGTCTTTGGCGAAACCAGTTTGGCCGCTGTGAAAATGCAGCCCCGCGTGTCTATTACGAGCGGCCGATGATAAATTCTGATACGTGTGAGAGAGACGAGCCGGTCGTGTTTGCGTCTGCGATGATGGACATTGCCTAATTGCCGAATGATTAGCACAACACATATGTACTCTCGCGCCTGCTGCTGATCTGCCCGAGCCAAAAATAAAAAAAAAATGCGCGCACGGCCTTTCCAGGTGTGAGATCAATTTGCGTCGATTGCATTCTTACCTTGATTGGAGCAGATGATTGATTTCTCAGCGTGTTGATGAAGCCTGAAAGAAAAAATAGAACAAAATTGAAATTTTATAGAATTAAATCTGCTCCATTAATTTTTTTTTTAATAAATAAGAGAATTCACTGCATTGCACAGTTCATTTTAGAATTTATAAATCACAATCACCTTACTTTAAGCATTGTAAATAAGATTTCTACTCCAATAATATATAATGAAGAGGATTTCAAATAAATGTTTTCGTTTAATTAATATTTATGTAAGTTATTTATTTCATTCTATTTCATAATTTCTGAGATAATAAATAAAATTAAAAAAAATTGTATTTAATTAAAATTATTAAATTTACAAACAATTTTATTTCTCAACTGTTTAAATAATTCTCAATTATATTTAAGTAGTTTCATATTTTATTCTAGCTCTGTGCTTTTTGTCCAATGCATTTGACACACCAGTCATTAAAAAAGAAAATTGTAGAAATACAGGGAGAGGACTATCAAATTTCTCTTATTATTTCCTTGTTTAATTTATTCACTTTTTTGGAATCAGATCTATTTCCCAAATAACCAGTTTTAGTGCACTGGGATCGAAATTTGATATTAACAAATGCGAGGCGACCTGAGAGCGTTTCAAGCCAACAGAATAAGTGTGCGATTCAATCCACTCTCCACTTTTAATTTATATCAGAGGTAAAAGTTTGTGTGCCGGTCTCGTTTTCGCAAAAAGGCGAGAGTGGCGGCAAATCCACGTGTTTGTTACGAGAGAGAGGAATCAATTTGGCAAAAAGCGTGCGTTCGCTGCAGAAACAACAAAGTCGTCGTCGGCCTGGCCGCACCATTAAATTTGAATTCATCTCTCGTGCCCGCGTTTAATTGCGCGACGTCATTTCGATGATTACACTTTTTTCGAGAGTTGGTTTTCTCTGGCCCGCAGCTTTGTTTATCATTTGCCAAATTAGAGAGCGGCTTCAAAGAAGCAGAATTGTACAAAGAGCAGGGAAAGGCGCCATGTTGTGTGTCGGTGTGCGCAGAAAGCAAGGAAGAAGCGAGAAGTTTGGCCCGCAGATCGATAAGCACGGAACTCACTCGCGAACGGCTTACGACTTGCAGGGGGAGGAAATTACACACCGAGGGCGGAAAACAGCGGAGGGTGCAAATGCGCGCGCTCTGTCTTATTTCCCAACCCCGCAGCGACGCCGGCCGGGGATTAAGTTTTCCAGGGGCCGCCGACTTTGCCGAGCATGCACGGCTCGAGTTTCAATTAAAGCCGCCTGCCCAAGGGCGCGTTACCCTTTCATGAATTTCCGATGCAAAATAAACTTGGCAAGATGGAGAGTGCAGTTTTGTGCCTCTGCGGATAAATTAATGTACAACCAAGTTCAAAATCTTTTGCAAAGAAAACTAAGCTTAATATGTGCAAAATTAATTTAGTTGCAAATTGTGTTTAAATTGATATTTCACAAAAGCAATTTAGTCCTTAGTCCTTATTATTAAGATTTCCAAGACTTCATTCTTAACATTAATTCCTTTTAAAAATTTATCAACTGCTCTTCCCTCAATGATAAATTTCTGACAAAGTTGAGAAATTTGAGGTTTCCTCAACATAAGAATAACAAATTATTAATTTCTGTAAAACTACAAAAATATAAAATTTTTAGCAAAATAAGCAATATTAAACAAATTTTCAGGTATTATATGATTTAAAATTTCTGAAAAATGTTAAAGGGTTTTATTAAAAAGATAAAAATAAAAATATTTATTTAAAAATATATTGCAGTCAAAAAATATTATAATACAAAATGATAAAATATTGAAACAATTATAACTTTAATATGCCTCAAACTATTTAAATGCTATAAATTTATCTACTGCAATTCATATAAAGTGCTCATCTTTTACAAGGAAAACGCTTTCAATGAATCAAAATACTCGAGTTGTATAATGAATGAAAATCAGAAACAATCGCCTCTTTTAATCCATAAATGAGACGAGAGTTTCAATCGGAAAGCATCTAAAAATAAATAACGCGCGCATTTCCAGTTGGCCGCGCGTGGATCCGAGCACAAAAAGATACACAGAGAAAAGCAGGCTCTCCGTTATTACGCGAGAGGATATGCAAATAAATAGGAGAGAGATAGGTGAGCGGGCCGGCGACAATTTAAAGAGCAGATATCCGAATGTACAAATTTCATATTCACCCCCTGCGTGCGTCGCCGCAGGTTTATTTTATTAGACTGATATTTTTTAATTTCCTGACCAATTAAAAGCGAAAACCGCGGCGCGTCCGTCACGCATCAATAAAGTGCCAATAATCGCGCGCAAGCAAAAGGGGAGAGATAAAAGCAGACGGCATGCGAAAATTTTATATACCCCGCGCCCTATCTTTGCCATATTCCTTGATATAAATTCGCACTTAAAAACGGAGCTCGCCGGAGGATAAAGCGCTTAGCGTCGTTTTTCACGCCAACTGCCGCCGATTATTTGTTATTCTTTTTTTTCGCAGGAATTCGCTCGTTGGATTTGGAAATGTGAGAGAGTCGGTCGCGGATATTGGCTCTTTAGGTCGGGGCGGAAATTAGTGCAGAGCTCTTGGAGAATTGATTGCTCTCTCGAGCTTCCGTTTTCTTGACAGGTCGCGTCGGAATTTATGCTCTCGCAGCTGCCGATTCCAGGAGGCGATAAATCCACACGCTCTCCCACTCTCTGCAAAATAAATTGAAGAGAGAGGAAAAAAGTAAAGCTCGTCTCGTGGACGGAGCCGGCCGGGCGGCCTGGCGTAATTAAATCTGAATCCTTAACAAGATAAAAAAAAAGATAGAGAGCGCTAAAAGAGGAGTTGACAACGCGAGACACGTTGGACAGCCCCTCCCTGCTCTCTTTTCCAAAGGAGCGCACTGCTTTTTACACTTTTTGTCGCAGCGCGTGCATTAAGCGACCAAGAATAACCGTCCGTCCGTCTGGTCATGAATATTCAGCACCCGAGGCGCCGCGTCCGCCGAAGAAGCGCCGACAGTCGAGATTTTTGCTCTCTTCCGTAGCAAATATATTTAAATTTATGACCGACGCTTTCATGAAAAACCATTTTCCTCCAGGGTGCGAAACTTTATTGCTGAATTTCTGAACTCTCAAGCATAAAAGTGAGAGAGTTGAGTGGAAAATGTAAATATTAAAAACACAGATTCTTATTTTTATCAAAATCAAATTTAAAATTAGTAAAGAAAACGTCTTTGATAACTTGCTTCTATCTTCAATGAAATTATGGAACAACATCTTTGTGTCAGTTAAATAAGTTTTACATTACATATAGAGAAAAATTCATGCACATAGATCATCAAAATTCAAAATTAAATTAAATAAATAAATTTAATAACGATTTATGAGTTTAATAAATTTTCTGCCATTTTTTATAGATTTAAGTTTTAATTTCAAAGGATCAAGCTACTTATGAATAACACTAAATTTTTATTTCAATTTATTAAATTAAGTAAAAACAATATAAGTAGCATAAAAATAAACTCATATCAAAGTATAGAAAGTTTGACATGTCCCAAAACTATATTTAGACTGGAATAATCTATTGCCAAAAGAATTGCGCTTGTAATTCACATGCTCTTTATAGCTTCCAAGATCTTAATTCAATTCATTCATCATCTCCATGAAAATAATAAAAAAAGAGAATTAAATAAAAATAAAAAAAACTACTGAAATTGGTTAATTAGTAGCTTTGAATAAGATTGATTTTTGGCATTTGATTTTGCCCATAAAGAATCGATTAATAGAAAAATTAGCTTTATATTTTGGTGAAACTTATTCACCTGATTAGTTTTTGTTGCTCCAATCAATTAATTAAATAAAAAAAAACAATCTTTTCAATTTTATTTTAACTAGTAATTATAAAAAATTTACTTCATTCAACCGCATCCACGTTTGGAGAGTGAATATAGATGGAGATTTAAACAGATGACTGCTTATCATGGAAAACGAAGTTTCCACAAATTTTTGACGGTCGAGTTTTTGGCGAGAAAATTGCAGCGACGAAATTGGCTTTGAGTGCCTGAGGGCGAGCGTAATTGCATCAGACAATCAGCCGCAGATTCTGGAGGCTGATTCGCGTGTCGGTGTAAGCAGCAGGTAGCCATGCATGCTTGCTGATTGAAGCGAGCGGGTGTAATGAAGCCGCGTGGTGTGATAATAATTTCAATAACGGCGTTCGCGTCCAGCCGCCGCGGGCCAGCGACAAGCCATCACCGCAGTCTCGCCCGTCATTCCAGCCTCCTTCGCTAATTAAATTGCTAATTAATTGCATCGCCAGCACCGCTGCTTTAATTTGCAAATTACATTTGCGCAGGGACGGAGGAGCAGGTTTTTCTCTGTTTGTTCTGTCCCCGGCCCGGCTGCCGCGCTCTAAATCTAATCAAGCAGAAATTCAATTTCCTTTTCCGCCTCTTGTTTACCTTTCTTTTTACTTAAGAGAAAAGCTGCTCTCGTTCTGCATGTGTGTGTGTGTTTAATTTTATTAGACCTCCCGCCCACCCATCGCACCATGACCAGTCCCTAAAAAAACGCGTCCCGTGTTATTTTTTGCCGGGCAATTTAATTAGTCCAAACAAACTAAGCGAGAGACTCGAAGCCGGCAGCTGCTGCTCCTCGTTATGTTTCTCTTTTTACTCTGCGGCGCCAAGTAAAAGTGGCAACTTTGGTGCGCTGCACGTGGAAATTATCCACCTCGACTGCCGCGGAATCATCCATAATTTCTTTGCACGTATGGAAATAAAAGCCAATTCCAGCGGCAGCCAGTCGTTTTCATTTAAAGACTCGAGCGTCGAAAATAAAAACAATAATAAAAATTTTACGCGCGTCCCGCCCGCTGCAAATGCGCGGCCAAAACTTTTTATTGCGTCTCATAAATTTAATTATTATATGCCCGCGCGCGAGCATTAAATGAGAGAAAGAGGGCGAATTGCGATGCTGAGCGCGAATCAAGAAGGGGCGAAAGGGGTGCGAGGTCTTCCAGTCTCCAGGGGAAAGTCCTGCACGCCGA